CAACTACCCAGGTGTTTAGCAAGTGGGCCCCATGTAGATAAATATGGGCATGCCAATATGTATTTTCCCAGATATTTGGCACATGGAACCCATGTGGATTAAATTTGGGCATTCCCATAAGTATATGCCCAGTTATTTGGCATATGGGTCACATGGAAATTAAATATGGGCATGCCCATATGTAACTGCCCACATATTTGGCACATGGGCTCCATTTGGATTAAATATGGGCTTCCCATATTTACTTGCCCATGTATTGGGCATATGGGTCCCATGTGTATTATTTGTGGGCATGCCCATAAGTATTTTCCCAGATATTTGGCACATGGGCCCAATACGAAATTAATATGGGCATACCCATATTCAACTACCCAGGCCTTCGGCATGTGGGCCCCATGTAGATAAATATGGCCATGCCCATATGTATTTTCCCAGATATTTGGCACATGGGCCCCATGCGGATTAAATGTGGGCATTTCCATATTTATCTGCCCAGGTATTTACCAAGTGCTGTCTCTTATACACAACTAGATTCCCATATATATTTGCCTATATATTTGGCATATGGGCTCCATATGGGTAAACCATGGGCAAGGCCCATATGTGATTGCCCAGACGGATCCCATAAGGGAAAAATATGGGGTAGCCCATAAGACTTTTGCATATGGGCCCCATGTGGGATTGTTACCTGGGAGTAGTAGCAGTTGCAGCAGTAGTAGCAGTTGCAGCAGCAGTAGTAGCAGTTGCAGCAGCAGTAGTAGCAGTTGCAGCAGTAGTAGCAGTTGCAGCAGTAGCAGCAGTTGCAGCAGTAGCAGCAGTTGCAGCAGTAGCAGCAGTTGCAGCAGCAGCAGCAGTTGCAGCAGCAGCAGCAGTTGCAGCAGCAGCAGCAGTTGCAGCAGCAGCAGCAGCTGCAGCAGCAGCAGCAGCTGCAGCAGCAGCAGCTGCAGCAGCAGCAGCTGCAGCAGCAGCAGCAGCTGCAGCAGCAGCAGCAGCTACAGCAGCAGCAGCAGCAGCAGCAGCAGCAGCAGCAGCAGCAGCAGCAGTAGTAGTAGTAGTAACCTATCCAATGTGAGGACAATCGCCTATATTTTCTTATTAATCTCAGAAAAAATAAGTGAGGACAAATCTCGTGTCCTCACTTAGTCTAGGCCTACAATCCCCTTTACTGAATCTACCCTACCTTCCTAGGCCTACACCTCAAATGTCCTTATTTAGCTAGGTTTTCCTATATTCTATACCATTTGTCTTACTATTCTAAATGAACAGCCCCCTCTATAATTTTGTATTCGCTTAACTATCTTTTCAAATACAAAATGTCCTGGGTTTAGTATTGGTACTTGGAAAAAAGGTAAGTTTTATTTCTTGTTTATCTATGGATTGGGCTTATTCTAGTATTTTAGGCTAGGAAAGAAAAACGATTATTTATTTTTACATGTCAATCATGCTAGGCTAATAATCCTATAGGATAGGGGCCTAGGGCCTAGTCCCTGCCTGTTCCTAGGCCTCCTTGACCCGGTGGTAGAATGGTAGGCCCATAGTAGGCCTACCACCATCATCAGACATGATCAATGAAATCCCGGCCCATGTTTGTGCCTTTCATACGGTGAAATTGGATTCAAATTTCAGAATCATAATCATATTTATTGTCATTATAATTTTCATTGTTTTAGTCAATGATAAATTTATTCCATCCCCATATTATTGTCATGGTCATCAATAATGTATGGCAGATATCCCAATATAGTAATATTCACTTTGTTGCACAACCTTTGATAAATTTAACATTCCTTTTGCAGTGTTTCTAAATATAAAAACATCAATTAAAAAAATCAATACCTTTTAAACACATTTATTCCCTTGTTCTATGCTTACTACTGTAATCAGACGATATCACAATGAATCAAATAATGTGCTTTGATAGGCCTAAATAATTTTTTTCTTTTTATGATCAGAGAAGAAAATGTTCCTAGACGGCCATAGAGCGGTAGCTGTCTCTTATACACATCTAGATGTGTATAAGAGACAGGTATTATATCAGGGAATTTGCATTCCAAGGAGACTTTTAATGATTTTAGGTGTAAAAGGCATTCTTGTAGTACTGTGAACACAGCCTGATACAATACTGTGTAATATATAGCTTGGTACTACACATGATGCTACACACAGTCCAATAAACAAATATTAAACACAGCTTCAAAAAACCCCCATTTCATTATGCCCTTTAATAAGTGATTATTCATGCCAACTAATATTTTGTACTGTAGGTCAGCAAGAGAATGAAATTATCATCAACAAAATTGCGGGCTGTGATGAGCAAATATGTATGTCTCCAATGTTGCCTCTACATAATCCACCCCTGACAGAAGGAATAGATCCTAAAGTCTTTATTGCTACAGCATTGGACAGGTGAGAACTGGTAAGGGCACAGGCCATTTAGATAAAGCCCATTGTACACTTTGGTAGTCTGCATCCAGCCATGAATGATAATTTGCCAAGCAAATTACTCATAACTCTGTAGACAGAGCATCTGCACGAACTGTTTGATGTCTTTTGTTAGAATCCTGATAACCATATATTTATTACCCTCTGTAGTATTATATTTAATAAATTAATTTAAAAACTGTATAATACCAATGACCATCAAACAAACTCAAAGGGAAGAGCCCATGGAAACACTAGATGGCAATTGAACAGCTGAAACTGATTATTTATTAACAATACTACAGTAGTTTAATACAGTATAGTAACATTTTATTAATGTAATATTAAAAATTAATTGAAATTCTGTAGTAAGTTATATTTATGTTAAGCCACATATTTTGTCAATACTTATTTAATAACTATTTGTTGCATCACTTTAATAATTATTTGTTGCATCACAGTTTACAACCAGCTACTTCAAAATATTTTTTTAGTCTGAAATTCATAAAAATCACCTTTTAAAAATGCAAATTGGTGGCCATGATTTAATTTTTGAAGAAGGCTGCAAACCGAAAGCTGAATTGTTATTATTGTACTAAAATAAATTTTTATACAATGTATTATTGGACTTCGTTTCAGTGGGAAGTTGACCGACTTGCTAAGTTAACTGGTTGTCAATTTTCTAGTATGTTTCGTACTCAGAATACAACACATGTTATCCTAAAAACAGGTGAGTTTGTAATAAAAATCATTTTATTCGTTACAAAATTTTTAAAATATTGGAGTTTAAATTTTAAAATGTTCTGTGAAATTGGATTCAAATTTCAGAATCATATTCATATTTATTGTCATTATAATTTTCATTGTTTTGGTCAATGATAAATTTATTCCATCCCCATATTATTGTCATGGTCATCAATAATGTATGGCAGATGTCCCAATATAGTAATATTCACTTTGTTGCACAACCTGATGGTCGCTTTTATAAATTTAACATTCCTTTTGCAGTGTTTCTAAATATAAAAACATCAATTAAAAAAATCAATACCTTTTAAACACATTTATTCCCTTGTTCTATGCTTACTACTGTAATCAGACGATATCACAATAAATCAAATAATGTGCTTTGATAGGCCTAAATACATGTTTTCTTTTTATGATCAGAGAAGAAAATGTTCCTAGACGGCCATAGAGCGGTAGTCACTGAATATTTCAAGGATGCAATAGTATGTGGCGTGGCACCAAAAATTCAAACGTGTAAAGTGCAAACAAAAATTCCCATATTGAATACTCGCACTTGGTAGTTGTGGTTGCTGAGCGAAAAAGGAAGTTAAGGAAAATATCTAAACGACAAAAATAATCCAAAATCTATGGTGTTGGTGCTTTTGACATCTAAGAAACTCTCTATGCTAAACATTTTATCATCAATTCTATTGTAAGCGTTCATGACTGGTCGAACAGTTTTTTATAGGAATCTAAATTGTGCATCGTAGATTAGTTTTACTACATTCAAGTATGATAATGTTTGGTCATATATTACTCCTTCATCATGGAGAGACAAGGCAACATCGATATTGGTGCGTAATTTTGTATGTTATTATGTTCCCCTTTACAAATAGGTGTTTTTTGCTATTTTTAGCTCGCATTGAAATATACCAGTCACCAGTGTAACATTTATAATGTGGGATAGGTTTTGAAAGAACATCAGAATAGAGTTTTATATATTGTGCAGGTCTATATCATAATGTCCTGCAGATTTGATGATGTTTAGTTTATCAATATATTTCTTTATATCTGTCTCTGACACAGGTTTTATCATGGAGGTATAAAATTTTGTATACCTCCATGGTTTTAAAAACATAGAGCAACATTGATTATTTTGACAGAAATACAGTTAGTACTATATTAGTTTGTTCCTTATTTTAAGTAATCTTTTGCCTATGTTAACAAATATATCGTTAAAGCCTCAGCTTTTGGTGTACTGCATAATATATTTGTTTCATTAGGCCAAAAAAAAAAAAATGTTCTGTCTCTGGTCCGCGCGCGTCGATTTAGACCATACACATCAATTTTTTTTTATTTTTTACCGGACATACAACATCGCCACCTATCCTGAATTTTGGGGTGCAGCTTATCCATTCTAAGTTTGGCCATTGCTAGCCCAATTAATTAACCTAGGGTAGGACCGGTTTGTATTGTAGGCCTAGTATTTGTAATTATACTCACTACAGTGCATGCTGTACTAGGATACTAAATCATTCATTCATAAACAATTTTGAAACACGCTGTTCGAAACTGCCAAACTAATTTTCGCGAATTTGGTCCTGGGGTCATTTACGAGTGTCGCAACAAAACACACGTGGGCTGGTTGTTGAAAATTGCTGTTCAACGTTCTGGGTTCTCGGTGGCTTGTACCATTATAGAGAGAATGATTCGCTAAAATTGCAGAATAAAAACTTGTGAAATTAATTTATGCTATAAAAAGTTTTCTTGAAGTTGTAATAACTATTTTACTTGAATTTGACTTTAGAAAGGCATTCGTCATCTGCGCATGCGTAAACTTTGTATCGCATGATATTTTCTCCACTTTCTGTTTTTGTTTATAAAACGTGGTTTGTGATGAGTGCATGCTTCGCACGATGGGCTGTGAAATGACTTAGGCCTAGAATTACCAATATATTAAGCTTAATATGACTGTTATTAGTCACCATAATAATAGAATGATTGTTTAAAATAGATAAACATACTCAATAAGTATTTTATTTTCCTAGCTTTTATTAAACTAAACTGATGTTGAAATTTTTAACGTAGCGCGACCGTCTAGCATGAAATGGGGATTTCCCTAGAGCAGGAATACATTGTTTCATTGCGGTAGCCTGAAGTTTACACGCATTTCCAGTTGATTGTCTTCTTTTTCAATAGAAAAATATGAAATATGTAATATTTGTAAATAATGTTAGTGTTTCAAAATAATTTAAAAATTAAAATTATGGGAATAATTTGGAGCTTTTAAATAGATGCGGCTTTGCTGAGCGTGTAAGTATGTGATGAAAGTCTGTCGTCCACCTCAAGCAGTGGTGAGCGACATTTGCTATGGTGGGATCATCGCCTGTCGGATTTTTTCAAAGTGTACCCATTAATGCTGATAATGATGATGAATTAAGACGGGGTTCAATTGGCAAATGAAGCGAAATCGAGGATGTGGAATGTGGAGGACAACAATATTTAGCATTAGTAGAACATAAAAAAGATACTAAAAACACCTTTTCTGTACTTTCCCTGCTTTTCAAAAAAAAAAAAAAAATAGAAAAAAAAAACTGCATCACCGCATCAATTCTGTAACTTTGGTCTGACCAGAAGCAGAACATTTATTTTTTTTGGCCTTATATAATTCTTTTGGGATATAATGTTTCCATTGCCATGACAATTGGATAGTTGTCATTGTTATTAAATTGGTTTAATATAGTTCGACGTGAACCAGGCTATTGATTACAGTAGCTTATATAATGAAGTTGATTTCATAGAAGCAATAAAAAAAAATTTTAAAACAGTTATAATAAATACTGACTAACTAAAATTTTGTTTCTTTCACTTAACAGATTAAATAATCTGATTTGATCCCATTAGTTACATTATTTTGTCATTTGTTGTATCTCCCTTAGCATGCTGGATACTTTTTAGCAGTACATGTTTATTTTATTTATTTTTTTTTTTTAGGTGACTTTTTGTTTTTAAACACTTTCTTTCAATTTAGAAAAAAATGTTTCCTAATATTTTTTTATATACCTTGGAATTTGTTTTATGTTTTTAGAATAATATTTATAATAGATACATGTAAATCATGCAGCTTAGAGGCTAAACCCCCAATGGGATTGGTTATAGCCTACAACTCACCTAACCAGGCATCATGGGCACAATATTTCCACTAGATTTTTTGACTAAAGTATATTAGAAACTCAATAAGAGTGCCAAATAAGCCATGATGCTTTAGGTGCAGGTAAATATGTACTTTTTCGTATGCCCTACATTGTCCTCATGGTGTCATAATCATCGCTAGCGTCATCGTATTTATCGGGTGTGTATTGTACTAGTATTGTTTTCAAAACAATATTTTAGGACATTTTATTCGAGAAAAAGCCCCAATTGAATGAGCTATTACAAAAAGATTTAAAACCCAATGACCGATAGAAGCCGAGAAAATGGGATTCAAACACAGTGGTTATAAATGAATGGTGCACCAGTGCGTGTATGGCCTGCTAAGGGTAACAATCATGATTGTGTTCTAAACATCACTAGAAACCGCTCTCGCTGAGTAAAGTAAGAGCAATTAAGGTCACATGGTCAGTACCAGCTAATCATCTAGAATTGTTTGACAGTTGAATTACAGTATTACTACAAAAAAATTTTTAAATGAGAAAGTTTGTATAAGTTGCATATTTTGGCAATGGTTCTAGTATAAAGCCATGTAGTGATATTGAAAAGATGTATAGAAATATTACTGTAGATATCACAATGGTACCCCTGAATAACAGAATGTTACAAATTACACAAGAACAAGGTATAAAGGTACATTATTGTAAGCGAGAATACTGTACAACTTTCCTACAAAATCATTAGAGTATAATAATATCAGAGAAACATGGATAAATATAATTATTTAAAAAAAAAAGACTAAAAGCTTGATTGTATTTGGTTTGAATATTATCTTAAAAACACAATTTTGTATAAGTCTGTATGACAGGCCTAAGCTTTAGTTATCAGTTCTGCACCAGCCAAGTGAAAAAAAGTAAAGGAGGTTATCCATAACATAAGCCTATATTGTCCCTTCTAGTGTTGCTATTCTGTGGGTTAAAATACTCAAGATGTGGTCTTCATCCATAACTTTATATATTAGTGTCTCTTCGAGAGATGGTGTCCTGTGGGTTGAAAGTCATGATGACGGTAGGCCACATTATCTACACTGAGAGAACTAGAGCTGTATGATACCCTTATTATGTGTATCAATGTAACATATTGGCCTCAAATGTGTAGCTTTAACATAAATATGTGCAGGCCGATAGTTGTGAGGATGTCCTCAAATCTATAGCTTTACCCTTATTATGTGTATAGCTATGTATAACATATCAGCCTCAAATGTGTAGCTTTAACATAAATATGTGCAGGCCGATAGTTG